TTGATTTGATTTTTCTTTGCACACTGAGATTTTGCTCCACCCAAAAATAAACCACACCTTTCTCAAAAAACAATATAGTGCAACCTGAATTTTGTGGAAATCACACACAACCAACTCCAGTTTTTTTTTTTTTAAAGAACTTAAAGGACTTACACCAGTTACCCACCACAGTTATTGGCGGGGGGGGGGGTTGGAAATGAAAGGAATAGAAAGAATAACACAGGAACACAATAATGGCATCGAGGCACAGAAAAAATGAAGGAGAAGCAGGGACCCCATTCTGAGTTAAAATTGCAGAATATTAGCTTTGATTATGAGCTGTTTTTAATTGATTCTTCAATTTATGAGGAGGTAGGATCATGCCACAAACTGATTGGCTTTATTGATGCAGATTATACTATTATATAAGACAACAGCCAAAGATCACAAAGCATGACTCACCCACTCATAATTTTTGGGTGATGCAGTTGTAGTTCCTTGATTGTCTCAAATTTGCCATATGAATATTCTTAAGTTTTTCTCTTACTCTTTTAAATTATTTCTTTATGAGGCATAAAGAAAAGTGTTTGAGGAACCTATCAAAGTGTATGTGCTGCTGCCAATCTCTGCTGCTGAATCTGTTAAAGCTCCATGGTCAGGTCTTGAGTTGAGTTTTATTCAGAAATACATTTGACCTGATATGAATAGAGCCTTGAACACCTTTTTTTTTTCATTTTTTAAAATGTAGTTTTTCAGTGGACTCCAACTTCAGATCCCCGCTGAATGTTCTGAGAAAAATGACAAATTCTCTGAAAGAGGCAAATGCTAGGTAATTTCCCATTTCCTGTATCTGCTTGCCAGAGCATGTAATTACACCTGCAGGAACCCAATTTCCCAGCTTTTACCACAGCAGGATATTCGGAACCACAAAAAATGGGAACTTTTTTAAATAATAAAATGTAGGCATGACCATTCTGTTATTGTTACAGTTGTTCTTAAGGTCTGCCATCTAAAAACCCTGTTCAAACAGTTTCACATCATGCCAAGTCAGAAATATCCTAATGTCTTGCATATACAGTATGTGCATAACTGAGGATACCTTCATTCAATAAAAATGAAAGAATTCATCCTATTAAATTATTTAATAATTAGTAAAAGTACTATAGACATAACACAACATCAAACAGTAATTCAGACAGAGATGAGTTAGAAGGATTGGTTAATTGTTACCCAAAAACCATAAGTAGTGTTAGATTTAGATCTAGGTGCAAATATAATCAGCTAGTATGGACCCTCATTATATTTGCGTCTCTGCATGCTCTGAGTTGAATCATTTAATTGCTAGTAGTGAAGAGCCATTGTTACCTGCATATTACAATAATACAACTTGAACTTGAAAGGATATGGGTATGTTAGCTAAGCAAACGTAACCAAAATAGAAATATTTAAATTGCAGTCTCAAGTTCAGGTTCAGGTTCACCCACCTCCTTTGTGGGTCTAATAAAGCAATAGTATTCAGTTTCTAGTGTGAATCACTTCAAAGAGGGTGGGAGAAGTTGCTGGATTATTTTAATATATCCTACTGACCTCATAGAAGGTGTATGCCTGCTACATAGACTCATTTGTTAAACGGTGAAATATGCATATGTCATGTGAGGGCTGTGTACAGGCAGGAGTGGTGGTAAGGAGGACCCAAAGTGCAGAGATGGAAGGTAAACTCAAACATAGATTTATTGTAAACCAAAAACTAAACTGAAAACTACAAAGCCAAACGGGCTGACAGTGATGTGACGTTCTGTATCGAGGCTTCAAAGCTTGTGTTGAGTAATGGAGGGGGCGTTTCCGCGATGCGCGTATCGAGGCTTGCTTCATTTATGGGAGGAGCTGAAAATGATGACGTCCGAAGCCTCGCTCCCCGGCTGTACCACGTGACTGGTTCAGGAAGTGGTTCGAACTTTGCCACGAGCTATGACAGCGATATAAACCCCTCAGACTTCATTCAAAATGTGGGTGTTTGATGGAGAGTTGCGGTTAGTGAGAGTTTGGAGACAGTTTGGAGAGAGTTTGGAGGTTTATGAGAGTGAGGAGAGAAAGTCAGGAGAGAATGGAGCCAGAGGAGGATGTCCTCCGCTGTGTGGGAACATTTTGATCTTATTCCTCCCAACAAGGTATGTAAATTTCTACAGAAGATGTATTTTCATAATACTGATGGTGCAATACAATTTATGTTAAGCTGTCTTTACTTTTGTACAAGGTGAAGTGCTTGCTATGTGCCAGGGAGCTGGGATATAACAACAACACCTCATCCATGCTTAAGCACTACAGAGCTTTGCATGAGAATAAGGGGAACACCAATTGTGGAGCAAGACCAGGTGAGCCATCAAATGCCATGATAATATAGCATGAAGTAATGCTACTAAATGATATAACAATATTATACAACTGTAATAAGTTACGTGTGTGATAATTATATTTGTGGTCTTTCCTCAGGAGAACAATCTCAAATAGATGAAAACCTGGTTAGCATGGTGATTGAGGACTCCCAGCCATTTAGCATTGTGGAGGACAAAGGATTTAAAAGATTTGTTAAATTATTAAATCCTAGCTATGTTCTCCCCACTAAAAAGGCCATAAAAGCAGTGAAAATTTAGTTTTTACAGAATAAAATGTGAACAGGCAGGACTGAGGCTAGCTGTCCATACCTCAACGTTACAAAAGCACAACCACTGTCCATACCCCAACCACACCTCACAGTAAATGATCATTTCCATTTTAAGCATTTCCAAATGATAATTTTCCATACTGCCAGTATAAATATACACAGTATACTGCCATCACTACAATATAGATGTTTTACACACTCCTTTTGTTGTTAACATTTACAGGCTGTGTGCAAAATGACACACTCTTCAAATTCATGCCAACTAATATTTTTACATCCAGTAGATGTCCTACTAGAGCAAATGAAGCTTCAAGACGCTTTGCGCTGGGGTGAACCAATTGGATGAAAAGCTTCAGTGCTTCATGAAGCTTCATCTGCCCATCACTACTGACAAGCAGACCACACAGCATAGTCGATGGTAGATCACAACACAGACACAGAGAAACACAGGGCTTAAATACACAGAGGGAGCAATCAGGGAATGGGTAACAGGAGGGAAACACAGCTGGGGCAAATCAGGCCTAACGAGACAAAGGAAGCAAAACCAGACGCATTTACATGAGACACGGACTTTCAAAGTAAAACAGGAAACATAACACAGACTGAACTTACGGACACAAGCTGTGTCCCAAAACGTCGGCTGCATCCTTCAAAGGACCCGGCCTTCACGGTCTACGTGGGCCGGGTCCTTTGAAGACGGGCAGGCCGGAAGTGTGAGGCTGTGAAATGGGACGGTCTAGCCTTCAGATTTGCATCACCGCTGTGTCGGTGGAGTTTAATAAACTCGGCCGTCTGCTCCTTGCTATCTAAAATATAACAGGACACTGGCGTAAATTCTCGACCGTCTCACACTTCTGTTTAATCAGTTTTCTGTTTGACGTTTATTCAGCTGTGTGAAAATCCCGGAGGAGCCCACCCGATGGATTAATAAAGTTTTATTTAATCTAATAACTTTGATCTTAGCCAAACCAATTTACTCCAGAACAAATAAAACACAGAAAAAGGGTAAAAAATTACATTCTTAAGTTATCTGAGTGACTTATATATCATGTTTAACCTGAGTAGTGAAAGAGCGGGGGTCTGAAAACAACGAAGCCGGGAGTCCGCTGCTCTCGCCGGCTCAAGTGACCATTGAACCCCCTGGCTTGCTATTGAGCCGGTGGGTAACGTCTCTGAAAATGTCAGCACACTTTTGCAAATATGCGATGTCTTGATAAACCAAGCAGATATTTGAAATTTACACAGCTACTTTCTCGCCTGAAAATATGTTAAAAGTTTATTTTGTGACCCAGAAAGATTAATAAGACTAATTTTAACACTCGGCCGGCATTGTTGGCAGCTGAAATTTGGCTGGGCCGCGGGATATGGTGGGCCCCGAAGGACACACCCGACCCATCCTTCAAATTTGGGGAAATGAAGGATGAATTTGTCGGCCGCATTTGAAGGAGTCGACGAATTGGGACAGCCTTCGTTGCCTGTAGCAACTATGGATCACAGACAGAAAACCAGAACACTAAAACTCTAACAAAACCCACCCAGAGAACCTAAACTAAGAATAATCCTATAACCCATAAAGCAAAGCTAGAATATAATGAAATAAAAAAAAATCAAAGAACCAAAAAACACAAAACACTGGGTCGATGACCCAGGCACGCTAACAGCATACATAACGAATTAATGATGACGTCTGAATACTGAGATCTTCCTGGCTGTTGTGTACCAAACTTTTTATGGATTGATGGATGCACAGATGTGGTCACGACCTTGTATGTGAAGAGAAGGATTTTCAATTCAATTCTAGTTTTAAAAGAATTTAATTTAAAGGGAGCAAATGAAAATAGTTGAGTATGGATATATGTGCTTGTTCTAGTCCTGTAAGTACTCACTGCAGCGATTTGGATCAACAGAAGAACAACCTGATGATAATAAATTTATATTTGTATCCTGCTAAACAGGAGGCAAGTGGACTCAAGTGCTAGAATAAAACAAGAACAACAGGGAGAGTAGAATAATGTTAACTGGTCTATAAGACAGCAAGTGGATATGGGGGAGCACGGGAAGGCATGTTCTGGAGAAGGAGAGAGAAGGGTTAGTCTGCAGACATTTTTCCAGAAGTTTTTGGAAGACTCTTTCCATAAGTGTGAGGAGTGAACAGAGCCAGGATACTTACTTGACATTCCAGATTTGTTTGCCACTGGTCTGTGCTCTCAAGAGACAAGGAGCCCTCAGAGGTTGAGCAGGCAGTGATGGTTTGGTTAGGAAGTCCTGCAGAAGAAGCTGGCAGGTAACTGTCTCATCCAGCTTCATCCAGGTGGCTGTCTCAGTGGCTGTGGGGTGTTTGTCCAGAGCGATGAAATGTGCTGCTTTTGAGAACCCTATCAATTATGGTGAATATGGTGGTCTTATCAGAGGGAACGGGCAAGCCAGTGACAAAAGCCAAAGAGATGTGTGACGACGGGAGATGGGGTATGGTGAGAGGCTGTAATACACTGGCAGGGCGTTGTGTGTTTGACTTATTGTGGGCACAGACAGGACAAGCAGCTACATACTCTTTGACATCTTTGTGTATGGTCTCCCAGCAGACATACCTTTTTATGAGCGAACAGGTGGCTGCAGCTCCCTGGGTCGCCGGAAAAAGACTACAGTTCCAGAGAGGTGGGAACACTGCGGAACACTGGCATCTGCTGGGGCTCGGAAACCACAGCGAAGCTTGAGTGGTGAGTTCCAGGTACTGACTTCGAGATAGGAGAACAAGGTTAAGCATACACATTATGATCAACAAGAGCAACGTGAGGCCGTGAACTAACATAGGTTAGCAGATAATCTGGCAAAGACTAGTTGTGAGCATTGGTCATAAATACTGCCAGTGTAATTGCCATCAGGTGGGAACCCAGGGAGGAGCAAAGAGGACTCCACCCAGAGGAAGAGAGCCGATTCAGTGGAAAGTTACCATGACTCACACAGACCATGACAGCTAGTTTGATAACGCTGACGTTTTGTTTACTTCAGTGATGATTTTTGTTTTGTATTTGTTTTCTTTGTAATTGAGAATTGTTTCTTTTTGAGAGTCGATGCTGATGATAAGGACCACTTTCCATTTGCTTTAGCCATTGTCTGTTGACTCATTCACTAGCAGGGGCGATTTTAGCCCATTTTTGGGGGTGCTTCAGCAGGTTTGTTCCAGCTCGTCTCTCCCCTACTCTGGCTCAGATGGTGGCTGAGACGCAGCAGAGCGGAGGTGTAAGTGCCTGGCTTAAAACAGGACATATTAGCTGCATTTAACCTTCAGTTACTCTTTATATAGTTAGGTAGGAGTCAGACCATGTTTCTTTTTAGCTGAAAAACATTACACCCAGGTAACCTGCAGTGTTGAAAGCGTGTTTTCCGACAATGTTTGCTACCCTACAATCCGTCCTGCTCTGTAGTAACATCAGCGACATTTGACCGTCCTATTGCTCCCATTGAAATGTATACAGCCTATTTAAAATCTAAAACTTTAAATTGTCCACAGCCTACTGTTGTTACCACTGTCCTGTTTGAAATGGATACTAACTAGCTAACTAACTGAATGCCCATTAACCTTATAACTCCTGTTGTGTGTGTGTGTGTGTGTGTGTTTGTGTACAGAGAGACAGCCAGGTTCATAATGGATATAAGGAAGTTTTTTCAAAAAAAAGGAGCCACATTCAGGTAAAAGTGTAAAATCAAATGATCCATCAATCAAGAATAATGTTGGATCAGTGTTTCAATGTTTATATCTTTTATTAGATGTTCATGTGGTTTGGTTATTTGCCTTTTGGTTGAAAGTACACTGAGAGAGGACTTTTAGTTAGTGATCTTAATAGAATTTCTTTCATATTAATGTAATTTTTCATCTAATTGAATACAATCTATTTGTGTATGATTGTCAGTCCAAAGAGGGAGAGAGGAAAGAGGGGAATGTGAGGAGAAAGTACAAGGTCAGGAAGAACCAGGTAAGAAAACAGACAGGGAATAGTAACAGGCACAACAGAAACTGTTAAACTGACAAAGAGAAAAAAAAATTTTTACTCATACAATCTGGAAGTTGTGTTCTCCCTATATTAAAGCTGCTATACAGAATCTGCAAAACAAACTGGGTTGAAACATTTTTGACCCTCTTTAACAACATTCCAACATCACATTATAATGGATTGGGGAGATTAAAATTAATGATATATTTTTATGTGGTTCAGCCACAACTCTACTAAAACCTCAGCCAGTAATAGGTAGGCCAACTTTTGGACCGTCCAGTTGTCTGTATGACTGCCGCAGTACGTACATCACATTTGCACACTATCAGAAAGCTAGTGTGGTAAAATTATGATTACTGATAACGGAGACGAAGACAACAGACGATGAGGACAGGGAGGAACAGGGGTTTAAATGCACCAAAGTGACAGTCAGAGAGAACTCGGACAACATTTAAGGATGCAGGGACTGACAGAGACAGGTTTATCTTGCCTGGCTGGGCAGCTTTCGGGGTGCTCAGCACCCCCAAAGCTCTGATCCTAGAATCGTCCCTGTTCACTAGTATACCAGGGTAAGGTCAAATGATAATAAAAAAATACTTCCCTTTTTCTATTCCCGGTCTCTTTTCCTTGGCCTCAGTGGAAATGTCATGAGGTTAATAAAAGGTCTGAAAAAGAATTTATGATTTAGTAAGAGAGAAAAGCAGTGCTCAGACAATCTACAAGCACTTATACTGTTTTTACTTCTTTTTCTCTGCTCGAGAGTAATCCAAGTCCTTTTGTCCTTCTTTTTTGGGATTTCTAAGTAAAATTTAATTCGTCTCTGAGCTGACACAAAGTGAAAATTTGAAACTGAAAATTGAAAATTGAAATAACTGTGAACCTAAACCATACCTTAATTATGCTGCTGTGAAACTTCATTTCCTTCTTATGTTTCTCCTGTTTTAAAAAGGTAGTTCTTCCTCCCCACTGTCACCAACACCTTGCTCACAAGG